GCAACCCTCCCATACAAGCCACATTTGTGGAGAATTTGTGATATTGTTGTCACACGCACACAATGACCACTCTTTGTCATAAATTCCTGCATCTGCTTCAGAGTTGCTGTAGGCCTCTTGGTCGCCTCTCTGACTAGTTTCCTCCTGGCTCTTTCATCCAGTTTGGAGCGATGTCCTGATCCAGGGAGGGTCTGTGCTGTACCAGATACCTTCCACTTCTTAATTATAGACTTTGAGTTTTTTTTATTTGTGCCGGTCCACAACTTTATCCCGGAGCTCTTTTGACAGTGCCTTGCCACCCATAGTTGATTGTTTGCTTCAGTTGCACTACCAAGGACTTAAAAATGCTCCAGGAAAGCTCTTTTCATGCTGAGCTAATCAAAATGAACACGGCTGATCACAGTTGAAAGTCAAATGGCTTTGTGTGCCATTAGAGAAGGTGATTAGCTACGCCTGATTGAGTTTACAAGTCATTTTTAGGATGGGGTGATACTTCTTCCAACTCAGTGATACTGTTTTTTTTTTCTGACATGTTGGTGTTATATCTTTCACTTGGATGTTATAAGTTGCACTGAGTAAATACAGCTGAATAAATCAAAAACTGTTTCATGCATTTCAGGATGCAAAGCAACAAAATGTGATTATTTTAAAGGGGGGTGATTCTTTTTTATACCGACTGTATATAATCTCAAACATCCAGTGTCAGAGTGTCTTCACAAATGGTTCAATATCAGTGAATAAACATAGCAATGATCCACCTCATCTGAGTGTTCAGGACTAGTCTTGGCTGGAAGCTCACAGAGATCATATGTGCCCATACTCTTGTGTTTGACTTGGCAGAGATGACTGGTTTTCACGATAAAGCTTAACCAAACCTTCTCGCTGGAGCCAGCATTGCCATCTGCCAGTTCTGCTTGAGAAGAGGGCCTTGTTATGAGCTCACGAGCTTCCCTTGACTAAGAGCGTTTATTGTCTCCCGACGGTTGCCAGGTCTTACTCAACAGAGATTACACGCTCTCCAGCAAAGCCATTCAAACCTGACAAATGACTGGGAAGTGCTGTTAATTTCAGAGCTGTTTGTTTTTCCTGATTGATGCCGACGATCGCTGGGTGGTTGTTGTAATGTTGTGGTTGTGCATGGAGAACGGCTGCTTATTTTTCCCTGCTGATTTTGGATGTAGATCGCAGGGGCGTGTTGAGGAGGTGGGACGCACAGAGCTGCATTCACAAAACAAGCACCTCTTTGTTTGGCTGGCATTTCTTCCTCTGATCCAAAACACTTGGAATAGGTCCCTTATAAAGAAAGTTTTTGAAGCTTTATGAACTTGCGTCAGACGATTGCTGCTTGTCATAAACTGGGCACCATGTAACCGCGAGCAGAAGATGAAGTTGAAGACGGCTTGGTTTTTGTTGCTGTTAGAATGGTAATTTGGTCCAGTGTTCATGGAGCAGAACCTGTGGCTTTGGCAGGGACGTTTTGTGCAATACGTCTTTGTAATAAGGTCCTCATGTGTGCAGCCAGTGGGCCCATAAATGCAGAAAGCTCTTCTGGCTACTGTGGTTCACTGTGTGCCTCTGATTTTACTTAACGTCTAAGGTCTAAAATCATAATCCAGCCTTTGCTTTGACTCCATTTAAAGTTTTAAGTGGCTATTAGGTGAGGGAATAAAGATGCTCAGTGGCTTTAAGAGAAATCATGGGCTTTTAAAGTCTTCTTTCCTCTTTAAACACGTGTAACACCAGTCCAGTAGTGGTGCATCGCAGTACATAATAGTTTTCATTTTATAAATGTACAATACAAAACACAGACTACATACTAAAATAATTCTTTATAAGTTAAATATACTGTATACAGTGGCCCTCCAAATATATGAATTTCATTATCAAACCAAATAGCAAGCAAATTAGTTCATCATAACTAACTTCACATTTTTGAACCATTTTTGCAGTTAATCAAGTTGATTTTAGTGCATGTATGAAGTCAGTTAACACAGGAATCCTGTGCATATTTCTTCAATATAAATGCAACTTTGATATTTTTTATGCAATAACATTTGAAGATTTTCTAATGTGACTTGATGGAATATATCTGTATGTTTTTTTTGTCATAAAATGACTTTTATTTCACAAGGATTGATCAAAAGTAACAGTAAAGACATTTGTACTGTTACAAAAGATCAGCTTCACCTTTCTATTCAACAAATAATCCTGGGGGAAAAAAGTATAACAGTTTCCACAAAAATACTATTTTCAGAACTGATAATATTTTTAAGCAGCAAATCAGCATATTAGAATGATTTCTGAAGGATCATGTGACACTGAAGACTGGAGTAATGATGCTGAAAATTCAGCTTAGCATCAGAGCAAAACAATAAATAAATTATAATATATTCAAATACAGAACAGTTATTTTAAATTGTAATATTTCACAATATTACTGTTTTACTGTATTTGTGATCAAATAAATGCAGCCTTAGTGAGCATAATAGACTTCTTTCAAAAACAAATACAATTAATTAGAAAAAACATTATCTTTTATCAGAAAACTTTTTGTGTGAAATAAAATCTGCGACAAAATTAGAATGAATAATTTGATGATTCTGTTTTATTGAAGCTACAGCAATAACAACCTTCCAATTAATACCAGATTGCAAATGTTCCAGGTCCTCACTGCAAAATCTACCATTTAAAAAAAAAAGTTTATAAGAACATTCCAGTATTTTATAAAATCATTTGGACTATGGGCTCCAAACACTTCATGAAGAGATTACAGATTCAAACTCAAGGCGCTACATAAGCTTTGAGAGCATGCATGAAACTGTAAGATGACCCTGGAAGATAAATTGGTCTTTCAAGTCCTGAAATGAACAAACAGCCCTACATTTCATAACATCTGAAATAATGTATAAGCCCCTTTTAGTGCAGTCGCAGAAAGAAAGAAAAAAGTGCCTAAATGCAGTCTTGAATTATGAAAAAGAAACTTGGGAGTGGAATGTAAAATCTAATTTTGTTAGTCGCCTAACACATTCCATTCTTGGATCAAATAAGATATAATTGATCTAAATTTGGCTTTGCTCTTAGTGTCCTTTAACAGAATTTGTGGAGATAGAAACTCAGAAGAAATGCAGCACACGGATGTTTCTATGATCACGTAACATTAATCTTACAGATTAGTTAAATGCGACTTTTGAATTGTTAAAAAACTTGCTATGCGTCCCAAACTGAAACAATACATTAGTTATATTGCAGCTATGAAAAAAAATGTCCAAGTTTTGCTAACATTCCTATTAAATTATGAAAGCGTTATTTCTCTGAACTTGCAAAACATCCAGTTTAAAAAAAATGTTTTTAAAAAATGTTTTTTCTTGGTTATGTGAACATTAAAGGGGTCATATGATGCTTTTAGCTTGTAACACTCCAAAGAGAAAGGAAAACTTGAAATCGCATCATATGACCCCTTTAAGGGAACAGTCAATTTAATCATTTTGCAAACATTCTGTGAATGTTACTTTTAAATGTTCTTTAAACATCTGAAACAAGTAAAACTTAAAAATGTTAGACGAACATTAAACTAAAATGTTTTCGGAAAAACGTTGGAAGAATGTTTGTTCATACTTTAGATTTGGATGCATCTGAATGTCATTCTAGTATGTTGATTCAATTGGTGCACAAGAAAAATTTATTATCAATGATGAAAAAAATGCTTTCCAGGATTATTTGTTGAATAGATTTAATTTATTTGAAATAGAACGTTTTCGTAATAGGATTTTGAGTTCAAATAGCATTTATTTGAAATAAAAATTCTTTGTTAACAGTGTAAATGTATTTATTGTCACTTTCAATCATTTCAATGTATCCTTATCACGAAGTATAATTTTTTTTTTTTTTTTAAATCTTTGTATCTACATTTTCTACATTTATAAAGCACTGAAACGGTATTAGCAGTAAGTCCCTCTGTTCTTTTTTCCCCTTCAGGAGATGACAAGCAGACTACAAGCAATCAAACAGAAGTGAGTATCTAAAGCAATAGCAGAGATGAGAGATTAACCCTAGCACTTAAAATGAGCATTAGATTTGATCTCCCTCACTCCTGTCTCCAACATCACGGTATTAGACATCACACAATGTTCTTTTCAGCCGTCTTAGTGGACGTGGCGGTATGTAAGCTAAGCCTCTGGCTGCTTCTCTGCAGAGGTCTCTATGCTAAGATGCTCAGCGGAGGGCTTTGCTATGAGATGGATGGAGCTCTGATGCAGTTGTCATTGATTACCTGCTGGAGTGAAGCTCCTGAAATAGAGTCTGCGTGAAATCAGATCCCCTCTCTCACGCTGTGCTTTTCCACTGTCCACGCCAGGCCCAGAGTGCCCAGCTGTCTCCAGCCCAAAGAAAACAGAGCGTCTACACGCCACCGACCATGAGAGGTATGAAGCCCGCATCCAACCATATACACCATGTGCATATTATGTGACGTTTCAGGCTCTTACGTAACTATACCATCTGAGTCATTCCTGTTATGCAGTACCTTTTGAGTTTGGTAATATTTAAATAAACAAATATACTTGTGTCATAATTTAGTATTTCTATAAAGGGTTCTGACTTTCATGACTTTCAGAAAAATGGCTAAATTCAGAAACTTAAATTTTAATAATTACAACTTGATTATGTATACAATGGCAAGAATTTAACAAGATGATGGAAATTAAGAGCTAAAGTTTGAAATGTCTTAGTAATTACTGAGAGTTGACGTACATTTTATATTTTTCTATACCTTTGACAATATTGATATTATCATACTATTTTCTGTAACTGTACAGTATCAGCCACAAGGGATTGTTTTAGAGTCAAACAAGCCAATTAATAGTTATATGTATACAGTTTTTATAAGTAAATATATTTAAAATATTATTATTTTATACAGTTTACACTTATAATGTGTGCATCTGTACATACTGTAAGTCTTAGTGATACTGAGGAATCTAGTATTTTATAGAAAAATCTATAAATTGATTATTAAAACAATCCCAAGAAAATATGTTTTGTTTGAATAAATAAATAAATGCTTGAAATAGTGCTAATCAAATTTCCAGTTTGTGTTAGAATTTAGTGTTTCACCCAGGGACATGAAATTATTAAATGAATTTGTAGTGACATTTTGTAAAATTGTCTGTGTGATTACTAATTACTTGTGATTACTAATATGTCTAATATCTTCAATATATCTAATATCTAAGAAAAATAATAGATTAATGCAACGAAAATGTACTGCATTGTAGAAATGCTCTGTCTATGCCATCTGTGTGTACAGTATGATCCACAGTACACTTACTTAGCCATGCCATCTTCTCCATTAACATTCACACTACACATATTTCACCGATGGAGGCGGCGTTTTGCATCCAATGACCCACACATGCAGCCCACACAACAGACTACTCACCCTGCACGTTCTTATGGATCAGTCACTAATATTAATACAGTTCCTCCGCTCTTAACCACCTACAGTGAGGTCCAGAGTCTGAGTCCACCAGTGAACATGCGTCTGTTTTTCCAAGATGTTTTTCAAAGATCATCTTGAGCTTCAATGAAAGAAACATCTGATAATAACATGATCATTGTCAGAGATTTGATTAGTAGCCTAGAAATAATGCAGAATTTTAAATATTTCTTATTTAGAATGTTTCATTGTTTTAAATATTTAAGAATCCCAAACATTTGTATATTTATGGGTTTAAATTAAATTCTGAATACCAGATTTTCAATGTGGTCTCAGACTTTAAACCTACTGTACATGATATAATACACTGCCTGTGTCCATTCATAGTTCTTCATTAAAAGGCGTTTTTATTTTAATCTGAAATATTTGTCCATTTTAAGCAGCGACTTAATTCAAAGTAAAGACTTAAGTCTTTTTTCACACAGATCAATGCAATGCATCTAGTGAACTGCTTTTCAGATTTCATTTTAATTTTTGATTCTTTAGTTTTGCTATCAAATAGTTAGAACTTCATTTAGTGTTCACTCCTTCCTGATTTACAGCTGCAGTTATTTTATGTATGATTTATTTGTGTTTATGCAGTTTATACACTGTTTGTGGTAAGCCAACAACTGTGAATCCAATTTTGTAATGATTCTGTCACTCCTAAAACTTTTCAGTGTATATGTGGCCACGGTTTCTCTTTTCTTGTGGGGTTTCCACTCAGGGTTTCTACGGGTCTTGAAAAATTTCTTTAAAAGTCTTAATTCAACCTTTCACAAATTAAGGCCTTAAAAAGGACTTAAATGAGCAGAAAGTCTTAAATTCATAAAGTCATGGCATTAAATGTTGCATACATTGCTAAAAATGAATATCTTCCAAAATCTAAACATCCTTAAGTTAAGAAACTTTTACTTGAAATGCAAAATGAAGATATGAAGTCCTGTTTCCTGAGAAATTCACCAAAATTAAGTGAGTTTATGCTTAAAACAAGAAAAAATATCTGTTAATGGGATATGAAAACTTGTTTTCCCTTTTAATTAAAGGGGTCATGAACTGAGAAATCAAAATTCCCTTGATCTTTTGACATATCATACTATAAAATCATCCTGTAAGTTTCATAATTCAAAACTTTCTCATTAGTCTAAAAACAGCTTATATTGAAGCCAATCTGCCAAAACGGCAGCTTGTGGAATGTACCGCTCTAAACCCCGCCTCCGCAGAAGAAGATCAACGCCTGCTTCTACATCACTGCCTGTTTAGCTCCGCCCACCGATTCGCGCACGTAGTGTAAATAATGAGAGAGACGAACGCAGGTCTACGCAGAAACTAAAGATAAAGATGCTCCGAAGACAACTAGACACTGTGCAGTGTCAAGCTGTGGAAAAACACAGTCTTTGCATTGCCTTCCTTCTGATCCCAACATCAGGAAAGAGTGGTTAGCTTTATTTTTAATGACGTTCCAGACCGCGTCAGTAAAAGGTCGTTTGTTCACTTCATTTCACCGTGAATTAGTTTACAAACAAGGCACAATTCGATGCCGGATTTTCTGAAAGACTGAAATCGAAAGACGATTCTATGCTGACTTTATTGTATCCAACAGTAATGTCGCACCACACAAGTGTGAGTAACTGTTTTTATTACGTGATCACTATTGTTTTGTCTGTTATTACAGATCGTTTGATATGAACTGAGTATTTATGCATTTTAAACGTTTCGATGCTGGAAAGATTGAAACTAAAAGACGATGCTGTGCCGATTATATTGGATCTGACAGTAATGTTGCCACACAAGTGTGAGTTACTGTTTTTATTACATGATCACTTTTGCTTTGTCTGTTAAACAGATCGTTTGATATGAACTGAGTATTTATGCGTTTTTGACCTAAATCACAGCAGCGTCCATCTATGAAGGCTGTAGGCTGTCAAACATACACAACTGTTAGCCAATCATAGCAGTGGGCTTTTACTTCTGAGTCTACAATCCACCACACCTATTCAAACAGAGCGTTCCGATGAGAGGGGTCAAAACAGGACAGAAAATAGCATATTACTGTTAAAATAGTATGTTTTTTTATGTAAAAATCTTGATAACATTATAAGTGGACCTCTGAGAAAAAGGCAGTTCATGACCCCTTTAAGTTGAGCCCATGGCAGATATAATTTTTTCTTGTTTTATGTAAGTTTCATAATTCAAAACTTTCTCATTAGTCTAAAAGCATCTTATATTGAAGCCAATCTGCCAAAACGGCAGCTTGTGGAATGTACCGCTCTAACCCCCGCCTCCGCAGAAGAAGATCAACGCCTGCTTCTACATCACTGCCTGTTTAGCTCCGCCCACCGATTCGCGCACGTAGTGTAAATAATGAGAGAGACGAACGCAGGTCTACGCAGAAACTAAAGATAAAGATGCTCCGAAGACAACTAGACACTGTGCAGTGTCAAGCTGTGGAAAAACACAGTCTTTGCATTGCCTTCCTTCTGATCCCAACATCAGGAAAGAGTGGTTAGCTTTATTTTTAATGACGTTCCAGACCGCGTCAGTAAAAGGTCGTTTGTTCACTTCATTTCACCGTGAATTAGTTTACAAACAAGGCACAATTCGATGCCGGATTTTCTGAAAGACTGAAATCGAAAGACGATTCTATGCTGACTTTATTGTATCCAACAGTAATGTCGCACCACACAAGTGTGAGTAACTGTTTTTATTACGTGATCACTATTGCTTTGTCTGTTATTACAGATCGTTTGATATGAACTGAGTATTTATGCGTTTTTGACCTAAATCACAGCAGCGTCCATCTATGAAGGCTGTAGGCTGTCAAACATACACAACTGTTAGCCAATCATAGCAGTGGGCATTTACTTCTGAGTCTACAATCCACCACACCTATTCAAACAGAGCGTTCCGATGAGAGGGGTCAAAACAGGACAGAAAATAGCATATTACTGTTAAAATAGTATGTTTTTTTATGTAAAAATCTTGATAACATTATAAGTGGACCTCTGAGAAAAAGGCAGTTCATGACCCCTTTAAGTTGAGCCCATGGCAGATATAATTTTTTCTTGTTTTAATCATAAACTCACTTCATTTTGATTAGTTCTACAAAAAAAAAAAAAGACTTCATTTCTTGTCACTTTGTTTCTCAAGTAAATGTATCTTTATTTAAGAATCTTAGATTTGCAATGGAAAACAATTGTGGAAGAACATCACTTTTTTTGCAGTGTGATCAGAAGTTACAGTAAAAGTATTTTAGTGGTTGGGAGCAGAGCTATTCAAGCCTTAAGCTTTTTTATTATTAAAATAAATTTGATTAAAAAAAAAAATGGAGATCAGTTGAAAGTTGTATTTTCAAACTTTGTTGTGTTGCTAATGCAACTCACTGTGCGCTCTCTAGACATTTACATTTAGAAAACTTACTGATGTATTGTGTTCTCTTCAGGTTATTCCTTAAATGTTCTTTTCTTGGTATTAAAAAGGTCTTTAAAAAGTTTTATATTTACCTTCATAAAACCTGCAGAAACCCTGCCACTCCAGTGATGTCACATGTGAAAATGTGTGATCTTCCTTCAGACATCTCTTTTTATGAGGAGTAGAGTTTGTTGATTTTAATAATTGCTCATTTTTGCCAATTACAAGGGCAGCAGAGAGCAGGAAATGATCCAAACTGGATTCAAACTCTGGTCGCCTGCACATAAGTGCCACTGTGCAACATGCTAGAACAGGGGTGACGAACTCCGGTCCTGCAAACTTCAGCTCCAACCCTAATAAAAACTCACCTGCCTGAAGCTTCCTAGTAACCCTTCAGGCCTTGATTAGCTTGTTTAGGTGTGTTTGACTAGGGTTGAAGCAAAACTCTACAGGGCTGCGGCTCTCCACCCCTGTGCTAGAACATGTGCACTGCCCTCCAGGCCACTTTTTCGACAAAGTCGAGGTATTAAAGGGTTAGTTCACCCAAAAATTCTGTCATTAATTACTCACCCTCGTGTTGTTCGAAACCCGTAAGACCTTCGTTCATCTTCGGAACACAAGTTACGATATTTTTGAGGAAATATGAGGGCTCTCTGACCCTCC